TACGTGGCCTGACTTGATGCTCTTTCAATAGGTTTTCTCTGTTTTTTTTTTTGGTCTTTTAGAAACAGGGTCTCCGTGTAGCCCCAGCTGTCCTGGAACGCACTAGACCAGGCTGGCCTTGAACTCACAGAGATCTGCCTGCCTCTGCCTCCCAAGTGCTGGGACTACAGGCGTGAGCCAGCACGCCTGGCTCTTTTTTTAAAAAATATTTATTTATTTCGTTTTATGTGTCTTTTTGAGACAGGGTCTCCCTATAGCCCCAGGTGATCTGGAACTTGCTATGGAGACCAGGTCGGCCTTGAACTCACAGAGATCTGCCTGCCTCTGCCTCCAGGAGGTGGGATTAAAGGTGTGCACCACACTCAGCTCTCTTCATTTTTCAAAAAGAGCTTTAAAAATTCTATCTCACTTATTATTATTTTATTTTACTTTTTTTTTGGTCTTTTTGAGACAGGGTCTCCCTGTATCCCCAGCTGTCCTAGAACTTACTATGTAGACCAATCTGGCCTTTAACTCACAGAGCTCCACCTGCCTCTGCCTCCCGAGTGCTGGGATTAAAGCCTTATTTATTATTTTCATTTTATGTGCATGAGTGTTTTTGTACATGCAGACGCACCACGTGTGTGCCTGTGGAGGCCCAAAGAGAGTGACAGATCCCCTGGAACTGGAGTTACAGATGGTTGTTAGCAGCCTCCATGTGGATGCTGGGAACTAAACCCGGGTCTTTTACAAGAGCAGCCAGTGCTCTTAACCTCTGGTCCATCTCTCCTGTTTCTCTTCTTAATAGTTGTTACCTACCTGGGCATGGTGGTGTACACCTGTAGTCCCAGCACTTGGGAGGCAGAGCCAGGTGGATCTCTTTGAGTTCAAGGCCAGCCTGGTCTACATAGTGACTTCCAGGCCAGCTTCCAGGGAAACCCTGTCTCAAAAAGACCAAAAAAAAAAAAAAAAAAAAAGTTGTTATCTACTGGCATTATGTACAGCATGGGGCTATTTGTTACAGTACATTTTCCCCAACTATGTCAGCTCTGGAAGGGAAAGGAGTTTCCTATTTTTTCCCCCACAGTACAGTCATCCAGCATCTTCCCCAGGAAGAGGTTCTCTGTAAATCTACTGAATATTTAACAAATGAATAAAGTGGATACAACAACTTAAAAAACAAACAACAACAAAAACCTCCAACTTGGTGCTAGGGAGGTGGCTCAGTGATAAAATGCTTACCTACAAATGTGAGGACCCAGGTTTGGATCCCAGAACCTACAGAAATGCTGGGTGAGCATCGCAGCTGCCTATAATGCCAGCTTTGGAAAGTGGATACAGGATCCTCAGTGCGAGCTGGCTAACAGAACTAGCCACATCAGTGTGCTCTGGGATTGATTTGAGACCCTGCCTCAGTGAATGAAGTGAAGAGTGTGAAAGATGATTCACAACAACAGCCTTGGGCCTACACATGACAGCACACGTGTACCCACACACATGCAAATACATATACATGCACACACAAAAATGGAAAAAGAAAAAAGATAAGTTTGTTATGGTTGACCTGGTTCAATGGAGCCGTTTAACAGAAAAAGAGATTTGATTCAAACTGAGAACACAGGTTCTGATTTATGACAGTTTCCTGGCCTTTGAATGTCCTCTAGGTGAGTCCAAAGTCTGGACCTTGACTTACAAGCCCCAAGTAATCTAATTCTGTCCTGTTCAATAACTTCATAGTTGTTGATGGTCATTTTAGTCCGGTGGTTAAATACAAGACTGTTGGACAAAATCTATTCAAGTTCTTGATATTTCCTTGCTGTGTGACTTTAGGAAGGGAAATGAACCTCTCTGAATTATATCAACTATCTGGTCTGGGGCCAATGAGATGGCTCAGCCGGTAAAGATACTTGCTATGCAACCCTGACAACATAACTTTAATTCCCAGACCCCACAATAGGAGAGAAGAGATTCCTGAAAATTGACCTATGATTTCTACACACTCACTTTGGCATGCATGTACACATACACAAGTGAAAAAAAATATTAAATTAGGGGCTGGAGAGATGGCTCAGTGGTTATGAGCACTAGCTGCTCTTGCAGAGGAGGATCTGGGTTCAGGTCCCAGCACCCACATGGTGGCAAATAGCCATCTGAAACTCGGGTTCCAATGCATCTAATGCCCTCTTCTGGCCTCTACAGCACTGCACACATGTGGTGCACTTACATACAGGTAGGTAAAACACGTACACATAAAATACAAATAAGTAAAAAAGCACATAAATAAACTTTTTAATTAATAAAAAAGAACTACCTAGTGTGATCATGTCACACCCTCCATCATACAGCTTCTGTGCTTGTCTCTTCTACAGCATGTCTCTTCCTCCCTACACTCTCCCAGCTTTCTGTTTTGTTTTCTTTGAGACAGGGTCTCCCTGTAGCTCCAGCTGGCCTAGAACTCAGCTGGCTGAGTGGCAAAGTTTGACACTCACTGACTCACTCAGACCAGAGTCTGCCTCTCTGCTGACTACCCTTCATGGAATACATTCTTGATACATATTTGTACTTACTTATTTTTTTAGAGATAGGGTTTCATTAGGTAGCCCTGGCTGGCCTTGAACTTACAGAGATCTTCCTGCCTCTGCCTCCCAAGTGCTGGGATTAAAAGTGTGTTCCACCCAGTTTCAATTTCTTTTTTAGATTTATTTATGTGGGTGCTATGAACCAAACCTGGGCCCTCTGCAAAAGCAGCAGCCAGTGATCTTAACCACTGGGCTATCTCTCCAGCTGTACACCCAGGCTAACCTTGAACTCCTGATCCTCTTGCCTCCACCTCACCAGTGTATTACAGGCGTGCACCAGCATCCGAGGCTCATAGAATCTAAATGCTTCTCCTCATCCCGAGGCCCAGCAGTGTCTGACTTCTGCCGACCTCTTTTCACTTCATCTCAAAAAACTTTTTTTCCTAATTAAATAATTAAAAAAAAACTTATTTAGTACTTTCTGTGTATGAGCATTTGGCTTGCATGTATGTAAGTGCACATGTCATGCAATACTGGCTGAGGCCAGAACAGGGTGTTGGATCCCCTGGAACTGGAGTTACAGATGGTTGTTAGTCACCATGTAAGTGCTGGGACTCAAACTCAGGTCCTCTGCAAGAGCAGCCAAGGCTCTTAATCGCTGAGCCATCTCGCCAGCCCCTCAAACAACTTATTTTGCGAAATCATTTTCTAATTCCTCTCCCAAGCTTCTTTTGACTTCTCACTGGCCATGCTATTCAGTCTCCATGCCATCATCAAGCTGTTCCTTTCACCAGGATGGCTTTCTGAGCTCTCACACCTCCTCCTCCAGGAAGCCCTCCTCTATACCCCCAGCCTGGGAAAGATTATCCTTTGGGTTTCCCCAGGCCCTGAGCTTCCCCATCCTAGGCCTGTCACTCGGAGTCCCATTCCCCTTCCCCACGTGAACGGTCTCAGTCATTGGTTTATCTCAATACAGGGCAGGTACTTGGGGAATAGCTATAGAAAAAACAATAATCCACAGGCTAAGAGTGTGGCTCCCTGGGCAGAATGCTTTCTTAGCATGCACCAAGCCTTGAGTGCCATCCCCAGCTCTGCATAATCTGGGCATGGTGGTAAAGGGTTATAATCCCAGCACTCGAGGTGGAGGTTGGAGGATCAGAAGTTCAAGGGCTTTGTCAGCTACATCGTAGGGTGTTCAAATCCAGCCTGGCCTGGGCTACGTGAGAACCTGTCCCATTCCCCGCCCCCCCCCAAAAAAAAGCACCAGGGAAGTCTCCACAGCCAGCTCTGCAGGTGTGACCTTGACAAAGTCACTAGATGTTTTCAAGTGTGTGATATGCCAAATAGTGAAACAGTATGGATCTCTCCACACTGACTATTGTGTCGAGAGCTAGCTAGCTAGCCATGCCCTCTGAAAACACACTGTCCAGCAATTTGCTTATATTATCTCACTTGGTCTTCACAGAAACCCTTGGAGGAGAAAATTATTTTTACTCTCTGCAGAGGCAAAAAGTAATGTGCAACAATTTATCAGGATGATACTGCTAAGTGGCAAAGTTTGACACTCACTGACTCACTCAGACCAGAGTCTGCCTCTCTGCTGACTACCCTTCATGGAATACATTCTTGATACATATTTGTACTTACTTATTTTTTTAGAGATAGGGTTTCATTAGGTAGCCCTGGCTGGCCTGGAACCAGCTATGTAGACCAGGCTAGACTCGAACTCACATAGATCCACCTGCCTTTGCCTTCCCAGTATTGGGATCAAAGACATGTGTCACCATATCTAGCCCTATTTTTTTTTATTGTTGTTTGTTTTAACTTTTATTTTGAGATGGGGGGTTCTCCCTAAGTTTCCCACTCACTCTGTAGCTCAAGGCAGGCTTTGAACTCTTAGTCATCCTGCCTCAGCCTCCCCAGTAGCTGGGAGGAGAGGTCTGCCCCACCTGGCTGGATTCCTGCTTGCAGTCAGTTATTTAAACCTTGCCTGGCCGACCTTGTCTACTTCCAACAGTTACTAACTAGCTCTAGAACCCACTGGACACATGTCTTTTCCTCTCTTTTGAATTTATTTTTATTCTATATATTACTTGAAACAGGATCTCATGATGCCCAGACTGGCCTCAAACTCACTATGCAGCCAAGGATAACCTTGAAATGTCAGTCACCAATGTCCCCATACTGGGATTACAGGCTTGTGTTACCACATTCTGTCTATGCAGTGCTGGGGATCCAACCCAGGACTTCACCCAAACTAGAAAAGCACTTTACCAACTGAGCATCTCTAGACCACTCCCCTTCCCTTCTTTCCTTTTCCTGATCTTAGGGTCCCCAGCTATAGAACTGGGATGACAGCACCCACCTCCACCTCCCAGAGTTGTAGTGAGATCTTATGAACTAGCCTGTTGGATCTGGGCTTGAAAAGCATGCCGGGAGGGCGCACCGCAGGCTTTGGGAGTGCTTGCATTTATTAAGACTAAGGCTCTGGGATCCACTCACCTGCCCGGCGATCCTCCCTGCGATCCTCCGACAACACATAGCGCTGGGCACCAACAGTTGGAACCGATGGCTGTGAAGGGGCAGCTGCAGGGGACTCCTCAGTCCCGGTACCAGCTCCAGCACCAGCCCCGGGCCATGCCACACCCGGACCCAGGATGGCGAAAATAGTCTCCTCCTCCGCCGAGAAGGCGTCCTCGGCGACCGGCCCGGCGCCCTGCGTGGAGTGCGGTACGCGGGCCAGCTTCTCCTTGGTGCGGCGCTTGAAGTCGTTCCAGCGCTTCTGCACCTCTTGACCCGTGCGCTTCCAGCTGGTGATGCTGTTGATCTTGGCGGCGATGCTGTCCCACACTCGCCGCCTCTCAGCCACGCTCACCCGACGGCTCTGCGCACCGTACAGCTGCGGGTAGTGGGCGCGCACCTCCCGAATCAGGATCTGGTTCTCTTCGAAGGAGAAGCGCGGCTTGCGGAGCCGGGTGGTCTCCTCCGCTTCGCCCGACGCCGCCACCGCCGGGGTCGCCGAGGCCATGGCGCCCCCCGATGCCACCCCTCGGCTGCCTGGCGCATGGGGGGCGCCGGCGCTGCGGGCAAAGGGCGAACAACGCTGGCGGGGGCTCGGTGTCCCCGTGTCGTCCCGACACGGGCTCCTCCGTCCCGTGTGCAACGGTGATGACGACGGGGGGTGGGGGCGGCGAGGTGTCGGATGCAGTCAGAGGTATCTCCTAAGAGCTGACACCCTCTGAGTGCTTCACGCCGCCACTGGGTGCCTCGCTGAGGAGTTGATGGGAAATTGGGGGGGGGGTCTGGAAGGATGGAGGGAAATAAGCAAAAGTGAAGAGCTGGAGGTGTCTCTTGCAGGAGTTAGAGGAGAAGGGGGTACCCGGGAGGAAAGGGAACTGAGGATGCCCTAGGGGTCGAAGATGCACGTAGCAGGGAGGAGATGCTAATCCGGCAATACAGCAGACCCGGGTATCCAGATTAGAGGGGGGTCTTGGGGGGTTCCTAGGTCAATGGGGCGTCTGTTCTAGAGCTATGAGAAGCGTCCATGAATAAAGGTGGGATGGTAAAATATTTTTGATTAGCATCTGCAGGGATTGTGAGGGTGCTGGGCTTGCCCGGAATTAAGGAGCGCTCTGGAGATAACGGGGGTCCGGGACAAGGGGACCACAGGAGGCTCTTTTGGACTCCCAAGAAGAGTGAAGGATTGCAGAGAATGGGGACCGAGCTGGGCCGTGGGTCACTCACCGGCGCCGCCGCAGCCCCCGCCTGCCGGTGGGTCAGGACTCGGGCTTCTGCGGCCTCTTCCCTACCCCCCCAAGTCCTCCCCTCTCCGGGCCCCGCCCCCGGCCGCCCCGAGGGCCAAGGCGCAGGCGCGCCAGGTGCCAGCGGTCTCTAGACGCCCTTACAGCTAGGGCTGCATTCTCCCCGCCTCCCAACGCGACGCAAGCGCAGAATTGTCCTTCACTGGGCCGTCCCAACGGGATGCAGCTGCGCAGCTTCGAGTTTAGCGTCCTGTGCTCACGGACAAAACTACCACGCGCATGCGCGGCCCGTGGTGATACCCAAGACTAAGTCCCAGCAGTGGCACGGGTGGAGAAAGGAGAGATGCTGGAGACTGCGCTAGGACCGGGCGGAATCTCCGCCTTCCGGGCAGTCTCCTTGCCTACTCTGCCCTCTAACTAAGCGAAAAGTCTTTCTGTTGGAAAAATGGAAGGAAGAGAGAGATGAGATGGGGTAGGGGAAAGAAAGAGTTTCGTTTCCATGACAACTGTGTGGGTGTGATGGGAGTGTTAGGAAACCACTTTGCCTACGCCCAAACCCACCACTGCGCAGGGTCGCTTGGGACCTACCTCCTACAGATTGAGGCGGAGCACCCTGGGGATATTCCCTCCCTGCATAGGCGGTAACCATAACAACACACCAACCTCCCAATGGTGCCTGCGGGAGGGGGGGGCCTCTGTCCACATCTTGACGTCATGACTTAGGAAGTTCAAAGGAAGGAATTTCTTGGAAGGTGCGCACTGTGATCCTGGCTACGGCTTGCTTTAAGGAAAAAACAAGCAGAAATGAATTTAGAGGACTGGTTGGCAGGATGACAGGAGTCTAGTCCTCTGAAATTTATTTTAGAAGTCTGCCTGCTGTTTCAAGGACATTCAGCATACTGTGTTTCCGTTATCTGTTCAACAAATACTCATGAATGTCCACATAGATCATAGTGCAATGCATATAAAGGACAAAAGTCCGTTCCCTCATTGAGCTCATTTTAAATATTTTTTAAAAACTTTAAATATTTTAATATTTTTATTTTTATTTATTTATTTTGAGACAGGGTCTCCCTGTAGCCTCAGCTTTCCTGGATTCACTATGGAAACCAGGCTGGCCTCGAACTCACAGAGATCTGCCTGCCTCTGCCTCCCGAGTGCTGGGATTAAAGGCGTGTGCCACCACGCCCAGCTATTATTTTTATGTATATTCCTGTATTGCCTACATGTAGGTAAGTGCACCGGTGTCCTGCAATGCCCCGTGGAGGACAGAAGAGGCTTCCGGATCCCCTGGAACTGGGTTTGTTAGCTGCCATGTTGGTGCTGGGATTCGGAACCCAGGTCTTCTACAAGAACAGCCAGTGTACTTAACCACTGAGCCATCTCTCAAGACAGAATCTGTTTGTGTAACCCAGGCTGGCCTTGAGCCAGCAGTGATCTTCCTGCCTTTGCCTCCAAAGTAGTAGGAGGACAGGTGTGTTGGTGTTGTTTTTGAGACAGGGTCTCCCTGTAGCCAGCTAGCCTGGAACTCACTAGGTAGATCAGGCTGGCCTGGAACTCACAGAGATCTGCCTGCCTCCATCTCCTGAGTGCTGTGATTAAGGGTGTGCATCACCACGCTGGGCATTGTTGCTTTATTTTAAGGACTAGAGTTGGGATCTGGTTCACAAACCCCTGTAACTCCACCTCCAAAGGATCTAAAGCTTGTTTCCAGCCTCCAAGGATACCCGAGCATGTATACACACAGAAGGGGACATCAGATCCCCTGTAGCTACAGTCATAGGAGTTGTGAGCTGTCAGATGTAAGTGCTGGAAATCAAGCTCAGATCCTCTGAAAGAGCACCAAGCTCTTCTAACTGTAAGGCACTCTTCAGTCTCCAAGATGGAGTCTTGAGATGGACATTTGGGCCCAGAGTGATGGCACCTTGTTGTAATCCCATAACTCAGAAGGCTGAAGCAGAAGGAGCATCAGTTTAAGGCCAGCCTGAGGTGCATAGCAATCCCCCTTTCTCACCATGTATCCCCCAAAGAGAGATGCATGATTGGGAATTGTCAGCGAATTGTCAGTGAATAAGTGACATTTAATTCTGTGGGACTAAATGGGGTTCCTTAGGGAGCAGGCATAGTTAGAAAAGAGATGCGGCTTGGCTTGGGGGTGCTCACCTTGTAATCCCAGAACTTGGGACTCAGAGACAGGAGCCTGGACTACTTAATACCCTGACTCAAAACACCAAAGCAAACAAGAGAAAAGAAAGAAATTTGAAAACACGGGATCTAAAGCCTGAGGCTGGGGCATTCCACCATGCACAGAGAAGTCAGTGCAGTCCCAAGAGGACCAAGGCTGTGTGATGACCCAGAAACTCCATGAGGGCCACCTGCAAGAAGAAAGACCTGTAGTGCCAGAGGCTGTGCAAGTACAAGGTCAATGGACACCAAGAACAGAACTCCCAGGCTTGTAACTTGAAGTTATCAGTAATCTTTCATTTTTGCAGTGCTGGGAATGGACACCTGAGCCTTGTGCATTCTAGGCAAACATCCTACCACTGAGTCACATCCTATCACTGAGTCATAACCTGACCCCCTCACTGGGGGATTCTAGGCAGGTGTCCTACAACTGAGCCACACCCCAGCCCCTCACTGGGGGATTCTAGGCAGGGGCTCTACCACTGAGCCACACCCCAGCCCCTCACTGGGGGATTCTAGACAGGTGCTCTACCACTGAGCCACACACACTGAGCGACAAGCCACACTGAGAGCCCTTCACTGGGGGGTTCTAGGCAGGATTCTCCCGAGCCACGTCCCCAGGCCATCACTGGAGGAGTCTAGGCAAGACCTAGAACTGTTTAATAGAGCACTATTTAGTGAGTTGTAGGCTAGCTTGGAATACATGAGACACATTCTCAAAATAGTAAAAATGACTTCTTAGTGGACTGGGGGAGCTCAATGGTAGAGTGCTTGTGTCGAATGTACTACTTAAGGGACTACATGATGTGGCTCAGTGGTAGTGTTTGCCTAGCATGTGGAGACTCTGGATTTGGTTTCCAGTAATGCAAAAGCAAACAAAAATATGTTGCAGTTTCAGAATGTGACTTCATTCAGGAATAGGTCATTTGAGATGTAATTAAGATAAAGTCATACTGAAGATAGGGTGCGCCCTTGATTCAAAATGACAGGTGATCCTGTAAGAAGAGGAGAGGTGCCAGACACAGTGGCTCAGGCATATAATCCAGCACACAGGAGGCAGAGGCAGGACTGCTGCACGTGTGAGGTCAGCCTAGACTATACCCGAGAGCCTTAGTGAGCCAGGACCACACAGACTTGGACCCCCCCCCCAAAAAAACCCACAAAAGGGTCTGGGGATGTGACTCAGGTGGTAGAATGCTTGTCTGGCTTGCATGAAGCTCTATGTTTAATCCTCAGGTATGGAGGTGCATGCCTGTAATCCTAGCAGGAGGATTGGAAGTTCGAGGTCATCCACCACTACAGTGTTCAAGGCTAGCCTGGGCTACATACATGAGACTGTCGATAAAACAAAAGTATAATCCTGTCTCAAAAATCTAAAATATGGGGCTGGAGAGATGGCTCAGTGGTTAAGAGCACTGGCTGCTCTTGCAGAGGACCTGGGTTCAGTTCCCAGCACCCACATGGTGTCTAACAACCATTTGTAACTCCATTTCCGGGGATCAGACACCCTCTTCTGACTCTGGGCACTGCACAATATGGGTGCACTTACATACATGTAGGCAAAACACTCATACACATTAAAAAAAAAATCTCACCAGGACTGGAGAGATGGCTCAGAGGTTAAGAGCACTGGCTCTTCATGCAGAGGACCTGGGTTCAGTTCCCAGCAGCGGCTAATAACCACCCATAACTCCAGTTCCAGGGCATCTGACACCCTCTTCTGCTGTCCTTGCACATTGCATGGCACAGGTGCACTTACATACATACAGGCAACACATTCATACATATAAAATATAAATAAAATGAATAATAAAATAATAAAACTCACCAAGGGGCTAGAGAGACTGCAGATGACTTGGGTTCAATTCCCAGCATACACATGGTGGCCAACAACCATCTGTAAGTCCAGTTCCAGGGGCTCTGATGCCTTCTTCTGATATCCATGAGCACTACACAACATGGGTGCACTTATGTACACACAGGCAATATACTCATACACATAATAAATAAGTACAATTATTTTTTAAACCCCAATAAAATATTAACTTGGGCATCTGGCTCAATGGTAGGTGGACTGCAGTACACATGCAACTACATATTCAGTGGTGACACACATCTGTAATTCCAGTATTGGGGTGCCTCTGGCCTCTGCATGTGCGCTCACAGGTCTGGAGAGATGGCTCGTCTCCAAGCTTTCCTTTTTAAAATTTATTTATTTTTAGCCAAGCGTGGTACTGCATGGCTTTAAATCCCAGCACGTGGGAGGCAGGGGCAGGTGGATCTCTGTGAAATTAAGGCTATCCTGATCTACATAGCAAGTTTCAGGCTAGCTGGAGCTACAAGGAGACTGTTTCAAAAAGACCAAAAAGAAATTAATTTTAGTGAGTGTTTTACCTGCATGTATGTGTTATGCATTATGTGCAATGCCCTTGGAGGCCAGAAGAGGGCATCAGAACCCCTGGAACTGGAGTTACAGAAGGTTCTTAGTGGTCAAACAGGTTCCCTGCAAGAACAGCCAGCATTCTTAACCACTGAGCCATTTCTCCGGCCCCTTTCCTTTTAAAATTATTTTATTTTTTATTATGTGTATACTTGTGTATTTGTGCAGGTGACCTTGGAGGCCAGAAGAGGGCATCAGCCCTCCTCAAATTGGAGTTCCTAGTAGTTGTGAGCCGCCTGCCTGGTGTGGGGGCTAGAAACTGAACCTAGGTCCTCTACGAGAACAGCCAGTGCTCTTAACCACCAAGCCATCTCTCCAGTCTCCCTTTTTTACTTGTTTATTTGTTTATTTATTGTTTGTTTATTTTTGGATCTTTTTAAGACAGGGTCTCCCTGCAGCCCTAGCTGTCCTGGAACTCACTATGTAGACAAGGCTGGCCTTGAACTCACAAAGATCCGCCTGCCTCTGCCTCCTGAGTGCTGGGATTAAAGGCGTGTGCCACCACGCCCCACTGCCCCCTTTTCTACTTTTCTGAACCAGAGTCTCAGGTAGCCTGGGCTGGTTTCAAACTTGCCATGTAGCTAAGGATCACCTTGAACTCCTGATCCTCATGTCACCACCATATCTAACTTACATGGTTCTGGGAATTGAACCAGGTGGCTTTGTGCATGTTAGACAAGTTCTCTACCAACTGAACCACACCCCTAGTCTTTGTGTGTGTGTGTGTGTGTGTGTGTGTGTGTGTGTGTGTGTTACATGCACGTGAATGGTTGGGTGCATGTACCCATGCATGCACATGCAGAGGCCAGAGCAAAATGATATTCCATGTCTTTTTCAAAAATGTATTTATAGGGCTGGAGAGATGGCTCAGTGGTTGAGAGCACTTACTGCTCTTACAGAGGACCCAGGTAAGGTGGCTCCACCCACAACACTGGGGTTACAGGCACATGCAGCCTTGCCTGGCTTTTTTAAGTGAGTGTTGAGGATTCGAACTAATATTATTTCTCCAGAGCAAACACTCTTACCTACTTAGTCATCTCCCCAATCTACCCAGACTACCCCCTCCCACTTTTTTTTTTTTTCGTCTTTTTGAGACAGGGTCTCCCTGTAGCAATAACAGCCCTGGATTTACTATGGAGACCAGGCTGGCCTGAAACAGAGATTCGCCTGCCTCTGCCTCCCAAATGCTGGGATTAAAGACATGCGCCACCATGCCAGACCCCCTTGTTGTGTGTATTTGAGGCAGGGTCTCCCTGTAGTCCCAGCTGGCCTGGAACTCTGGAACTCGCTATGTAGACCAGGCTGGACTCAAACTCACAGAGAGCTGCCTCCAGGTGCTGGGATTAATGGTATGTGCCCCACCATGCCTGTCCTTACGCCCGCTTTTTTTTTTTTTTTTTTTTTTTTGAGACAGGGTTTCATTCGGTAGCCAATCTGGCCTGGAGCTTGCTGTGTAGCCCAGGCTGGCCTCGAACTCTAGCCTATCCTCCTGCTCTCACTTCCCAAGTACTGGGATTATAGGCATGAACCACCAAGCTGGTGCTTGTGTTTCAAAATCACTACTCATATTTTGTCAGAGGTCTGTTCCATTCTAACACTCTATCACCTGCTTAATGGACTCTCCTCCCCCTACCCTCACCCCTGTCCTAGTCCTGTTCCAGCTGTAGGTCTGGGCCCCAAGCACCTAGGTCAGCTGTGCCTTGTCCTACAGGTGCCATCGCAGACGTCTGCCTTCCACCTGCTGCACACCTTGGTGTGAATTAGAAAGAATGTGCTTCCTCTTAGTGGCAGGGCAGAAAGACCCCTTCTTGGTGCCCTATCATAGATCTCTGCCTGCCCCTGGATTGAGTTTCTTTCTTTCCCACTGTTTGGTTTAACCTGGGAGTTTCTGTCATGGGCAGAGTTATTTAGGGAGACAACCTTGAGACAGGATTAGGATCTCCTAAACTTAGTTTCTATGTTTGGTGGCAGGTGAGTCCAGGGGTGGAATTCAGAATTTGAACATGGTCACTAAAGATTACCTTCTTACAGTTCGGTGGTAGAGAGGGCTGGCATAGAAAACCCCCGTTAGGGGCTGGGGGTGTGGCTCAGTGGTAGAGCACCTGCCTAGAATCCCCCAGTGAGGAGCTGGGGACCTGGCTCAGTGGTAGAGCCCCTGCCTAGAATCCCCCAGTGAGGGGCTGGGGACCTGGCTCAGTGGTAGAGCCCCTGCCTAGAATCCCCCAGTGAGGGGCCGGGGACCTGGCTCAGTGGTAGAGCATCTGCTTAATATGTGTACAACCCTAAGTCCAATTATCAGTATTTAAAAAAAAAAAAAAAAAAGAGGCCAGGTTCTCCCTAGTGTCTGCTGCATCAGAAGCTGCCCACTCCATGGACTGTCTCAGCTCTCTCTTATCCGGCTGGCCTACTTCCTGTGTATTCTGCCCACTCAACTCAGTACATTTGAACTTGCTCTGCCCTCCTGTCTGGAATGTCCTTTCCCCATAATCTTTGCCTGTTTCCTTGGTTCATTTAGACTCTGCTTAGATGTACACCTCTCCCGCTCTCTCTTCTTCATCCATCTGTCCGATTTTCTTTTCCTTCATTAGGCATTTTGCCCAACTGCCATTAAGTTATACATGTATCAGTTTTTTTTGGTGCTAGGGACTGAACTCAGGCCTTATGAATGCTAGGTAAGCACTGTACCAATGAGCTATATCCCCAATTCTTGTTGACTGGCTTAGAACTCAGAACTGTCTCAACCTCCCAATTGCTGGGATGACAACATGGGCCACCAAACCTTGTTCTCTAAGTACCTAGAACAGCAGCACTAAGCAGGTGCTCAGTAACTATTTGTTGAACAACAAGATAACAGATAACAAACAAACAAACAAATAAATAAATAAATAAATGCTCTGATGTAGCTATGTAGCCAAGGATAATCTTGAACTCCTGATTCTCCTGCTCCATTTCCCAAGTGCTGAGATTTACAGGTGTGCACCACCATACCTGGCTGGATCACACTTTTTTTTGGTCTTTTTGCCCTGTAGCCCAGCTGGCCTAGAACTCACTACGTAGTCCAGGCTGGCCTTGAACTCACAGAGATCCACCTGCCTCTGCCTCCGAGTGGTGGGATTGAAGGTGTGCGCCACCATGCCCAACTGGATCATAGATCAAACCTGGCAGCCCCTAGCTTCTTAGGGCAAGAGAGAAACCCCTGGCCAGACATGAAAAGAGATATATCAGAATGGTAAGAGACTATGACTAGCATCTGTGAAGCCCTGGGTCATGCCCCAGTGGAACGGAGGAAGGGGGGGGAAGGACAGAAGGGAAAGAAAGAGCCAGTGAGATGGCTCAGAGGGTAAAGGCATTTGGCACCAAGCTTGAAGACGTGAGTTTGATCCCTGGGACCCACGTGGTAGAAGGAGAGAAACCACACTGGCAAATTGTTCTCTGACCTCCACTTGTACATGCTGTGTCTGCCTCCCCACCCCCACTAAATATAAAAATAATTTAAAAAGAAAAAGAATCTGAGGTCCAGGTGGTGACTGAGAAGGACTTAGGAATCTGTCCTCAACTAGGTGGCCTGTGTTGGAGGAGATAAGGGGAAGCGAGTCTGAAAAGCAGCTCCGGACCCCTTCCTGCCTTTCTTTCCAAGCTCCTCAGTCCCCTCCCTCCTTCCCCCTCCCAGCACCCAAAAGCGAAGGCCCACCAAATTCAAAGATTACAGACATCAGGATCTCAAAGCCAACTCTAAACATGCTTTATTCACCAGAGCTCACCCCCCCATCCTCATCCCACCTCCATGCCAAAACAGCAAATAACTTAAAATTCAACCAGGGCTCTTTGGCCTTAAAATAAAATCTAGACAGCTGCCATTTCAATTGGCTTTCGGACCCCTTTGCTGTGGAAACTTCGTTGATCTGGCACATAGTCAACCACCCTGATTGGGGAGTGACATAGAGATGTATCTCTCACTGGGGAGGCCAACCCATGGTGACCTGGGGTGAAGAAACCAAATGAAATGGGATGAATAATGAAGTAGGGGTAGGTTCACTGGAGGAAGTCTCCTAAGCTGCAGAGGCACAGAGCCCTCCAGTGTGTTCCCTGTGATGCCACCAATCCCTGCTAGATGCCACCAATCCCTGCTAGATACCATGGTCAGGGCAGAGAGGGCTAAATTTGAGTGGTCCATACTGAAACATGAGTCTGAAGACACCAAGGGAAATGAAAAGAGATGGATGGTCTCAAGTCCCATCTTCCAGTTCTTGGTTGTGAAGGTCCCGGCTAGCCTTGGGCATTGTCCTTGGATTCTGAAGACGGGCTTGTCAGAGCATACTGGGGTTCTTTAGTGCCAAGGATCCCTTAAGGAATGTAACCCTGGAAGCTGAAAAGTCAAAAGGGTCAGTTTAGTGTCACCAACAGGGTCTGACAATCCAAAAGGAGCCACCAAGATGCCTGGTCCACAGAGAACAGCTCCCAAAATACCAGGCGTCCCTGAGACAGGTTGACCCAGCTGCCAGCAGCCTTCAGTGCATCAGGATCCTGAAGGGATGGAGAGGTGGGATCTGGGGATCCTGAAAGGGCTGGGTGAGTGAAGGGGATGTTACTAGGGGCAGGAGGGTTTATGGATGTGGGTGATAGGTACCTCATGGGTCTTAGCGCTTGACTTTGCGGCCAGCCGAGTTGCGTCCACTGCGACGATAGAGAGATTGCTGGCTGCCGTTGAGTGGACAGTACTTGAGTGTGTGAGCCTGGTCCCCAGTGGCCCCGCAGAGGGGACACACATAGTGCCTCAGGATGGGACACACCACCACACCGTCCGGTGTCTTCAGCTGGTGTGAGGCATAGACATTACGAGACTCTCCATTATGTTTGCAGAAGTTGCACAGGGCATCCAGGGCCCCAGAGACACCCAGCCCCTGATCCCACTTCTGCTGGGGTCTTGGGGTGGATTCCTCAGTCTTCTTGACCTCTAGCCTTTGACTGCTGTCCTGAATCAAAGCCAGGATCACTTGATTCAGGTTGAAGTAGTCTTTCCACATGTCAAAGGGTGGCAGTTCCATGACACCGCTGTGTGGCTGGTTGGTGGCCAGCACTGGGGAGATGATGGGGGACTGGGGCTGGAAGACCGTCAGTGGGCTGGAGCAGCAGGGTTATTGTGGAGCAGAGAGAAGTGTGCAGCCCCCTTTTATACTCCCCAGAGACCTCTGCAGCAAAGGTGGAGCTTAGATTTAAAGAGCCCTCTCCTAGCCTATGACCCTCAGCTGACTCGGGTCTCCCAGGGAGGTAGAGAAACAGGTCATTCCCCAGGTCGCCCCTCCTCCAAGGTGCTCTGTGTTTTCTGAAGAGGCCCTTCTACTTCACGGGCCTGTTTCCCTCCTGTTCAATTTAAGGCCATGTTTGTATCTGTTTCCCGCCTCCATCCTTCCTTCCTTCTTCCCTCCCTCCTTCCCTCCCTCCCGCGCTCTGACACTCTTCCACAGTCATTTCTTTCTCTTTTTTTTTGGAGACAGGGTTTCCCTGTAGCCCCAACTGGCCTCGAACTCTCTATATAGACCAGGCTGGTCTCAAACTCACAGAGACCTGCCTGCCTCTGCCTCCCAAGCGCCCAGCCTCCACAGCCATTTCTAACTTTCTGATTTGGTTGACTTATTTTTCTTTTTTCCATCTTTTGAGACAAGGTCTCCCTGTAGTCCCAGCTGACCTGGAACTCACTATGTAGAACAGGCTGGCCTTGAACTCAGAGATCTGCCTGCCTCTGCCTCCTGAGTGGTGGGATTAAAGACATGTGCCACCACGCCCAGCTGATTTATTTTTCTTACATTTATGTGGGGTGGGGGCACACAGGCCACAGCACACATGTGGAGATCAGAGGATAACTTGCAGGAGTCACATCCTTCTGTCATGTAGATTCCATGGATGGAACTTAGATCACTGGGCTTGACAACAAGGACTTTATCCACTGAGCCATCTCTCTGGCCCTCATTTGGATATTTCGTTTATTTTGAGATAGGGTCTCACTGTGGAGCCCTGACTGACCTGGATCTCACAGAGAACTGCCTGCCTCTGCCTCTTGGCACTGGAAATAAAGGCATGCACTACCATGTCTGGCCCTAGGCAGTTTTTTTTTGTTTGTTTGTTTTTTTAACCCGCCCTTGGTTTAATTTTTTTTTGAGTCAAGATCTTGTTATGTATCACATGACTCTAGCCCGGATCCTTCTTCAAGTGGGGGTCTGGTGGAGGGCTCCTCATTTCCTCTGACCTTTGGCTTTTGGTGGGCTCCAGATCCTGCCTCAGCCTGCAGAGTGCTGAGATCAGAGCCTTGCAGAGGCTGGGGGGTATGGCTCAGTGGGAGAACACCAGAAACCCCAGGTTCTTTGCCCAAGCTTGGTGGTGCACAACTGTAATTCTAGCACTTAGAAGGTGGAAGCACAGGCTCAGAAGTTCAAGGCCAACTTTAGCTATGTAGCCAGCTCGAGGCCCAACTGGCATATATAAGATCCTGTCTCAAAAAATAGGAGCAGAGCTGGCTGTGGTGGCGCATGCCTTTATTTCCAGCACTCGGGAGGCAGAGGCAGGCGGATCTCTGTGAGTTCAAGGCCAGCCTGATCTACATAGTGAGTTCTAGGACAGCTGGGACTACAGGGAGACCCTGTTTCGAAAATACAAAAAAAAAAAAAAAAAAATAGCAGGAGAGATGGCTGAGTGGTTAAAAGCACTTGCTGCTCTTGCAGAGGACCCCAGTTTGGTTCACGAAACTCACATTGGGCAGCTCCAAAACCACCTGTAACTCTAGCCCCAGAGGATTGACACCTCTGACTTCCACAGACACCTGCACACTCCTGTCACACAGACACATATAGACATAATTAAAAATAATAAAACAAAAATCTTTAAAAACAAAACACAAACAAAAATGCACCCATACCCCTAACTTCATTTTGTTTTGTTTTGTGGGGTTTTTTTTCTTTTTTTTAATTAATTAATTATTTAATTCACAGAGATCCTCCTGCCTCTGCCTCCCAAGTGCTGGGAGTAAAGGTGTGCACCACCACGCCCGGCCTCAGAGTTCTACCTTTATCTCCCAAGTGCTGGAGTATCAGGAAGACCAAGCATTTATTTACTGAGTGTGTGTGTGTGTGTGTGTGTGTGTGTGTGTGTGTGTGTGTACGTGTGCCTGTGCTACAACATTGGGAAGCCAGAGGATGGTTTCATGCCGGCCCTATCTTAATACTTTTTTTTTTTTTTTTTTTTTAAATCTTTTTGAGACAGGGTCTTCCTGTAGCCATAGCTGGCCTGGATTCATTATGGAGACCAGGGTGGCCTCGACCTCACAGAGATCAGCCTGTCTCTGTTTCCCAAGTGCTGGGACTAAAGGTGTGAGCCACCATGCCCGGCTGTCTTAATACTTAAAAAAAATTTTTATTATTTTTTATGTGTATATTATTGCCTGCATGTAAGTACACTCATGTTGTAGCAATGCCCATGGTCAGAAGAGGGTGTCAGATTACCCTGGAACTGGAGTTACAAATAGTTGTTAGCCTCTATGTGGGTGCTGGGAACTGAACCTGGGTCCTCTGCAAGAGCAGTCAGTGCTCTTAACTGCTGAGCCATCTCTCCAGCCCTAGACTTAATATTTTTAACAACCCTTAGTATGAGGTCAGTTCAGTAATACAGTTACATGCTCATATGATTTAACCCTCATGACTTTGTGAGAGAAACATAGCTATGATCCCATATATTACAGCTCACTAACTGAGTAACTCCCAGCACTAGGGAGGCAGAGGCAGGCAGAGCTCTGAGTTCAAGACCAGTCTGGTTTACATAGTGAGTTTCAGGCCAGCTGGGCCTATAGGGAGACCCTGTCTCAAAAAGACAAAAAAAAAAAAAAAAATCCCATAGTAGGGGCTGGAGAGATGACTGCTTTTGCATAAGACCCAGGTTCAGTTTCCAGCACCCATGTGGCAACTAACAACCATCCTGACTTCAGTTCCAGGGGAGTTAATGCCCTCTTCTGACTTCTGAGGGCACAGCGCAACACATGCGCACTTATACACGCAATACAGTCATACACATTAAAAGAAAACACAAACAAAAAAAAAGCCCGGGTGCACGTTTTTAATCCCAGCACTTGGGAGGCAGAGGCAGGGGATCTCTGTGAGTTCAAGGCCAGCCTGGTCTACATAGTGCGTTCCAGGACAGCTGGGGCTACAGGGAAACCCTGTCTCAAAAAGACCAAAAAAAAAAAAAAAAAAAAAAAAAAAAAAAAAAAAAATCCCATAGTAAAGCTGGACGTAGTGGGGTATGCTTTTAACTCTAAGCCAGCATTTAGGAGGCAGAGGCAAGTAGATTTCTGTAAGAGCAAGCGCAGCCTGATCCACATAATGAGTTCCAGGCCAGCCTGGGTTACATAGTGAGTCTCTGTCTTTACAAAAAGCTTCTATTGTAGAGCCTTGCAGATGAAGTCGCTGAAAGCCTGAGTTCAATCTTCTAGACCCACATGGTAGAGAGAATTGATTTCCCCAAGTCATCCTCTGGCCTCCACACATACCATGGCACATATGCATATGTGTGTATATACAAATAATTATTAAATGTATTAAGACAATTATAAAGTCCCATTGTGGCTGGGCAGGGTGACATGATTATAATCCTAGTTTGCAAAAGGCTAAGGCTGAAGAAGTCTCAGATTTGATGAAAGCTTGGGATACAAGCAAGACTCCATCTTTAATAGCCAAAATAGCAGTGGTAGTCCCATTGTACAGATGAGCAACGGGAGGCTCAGAGATGCTGAGGAAGGCTGGACAAAGCCATACAGACAGTCTCGGTGGGCTGGGACACAAAACCACAATCTATCTCAAACCCAAGCATTCTTCAGCCTCATGAGCTTCTTAAGAAAGGACTGAGCCGATGGGTGTGCTGGCCCATTAATCCCAGCACTCGAGAGGCAGAGGCAGGAGGATTGTTCCAAGTTCAAAGCCAGTGAGACTGTCTCCAAACCATGGAAGTCCAGGGCAACCAGTGGAGCTGCGAAGAGCTTGCCTGGTGTAGCTGTATACTGTGGTACAGTACCAGGAACTGTAGAGGAAATGTTGAAGACAGGCTTTTCATAGAATTTAAGGAGGGGGACCGTGCTGCTGTGTGGAAGAGCTACGTTCCTGAGGAGGAAACGTACCAGAAGCTCTCTAAGCCAAATGCTTAGTAGAAAGTCACAGCTGAAGGAGGGCATGGTGGTTCAGGTCTTAGCATTTGGGAGGCTAAGACAGGAGGATCATGAGTTCTAGTCTAGCCTGGGCTATGTAGGGAGACCATATCTCAAAAGAACAAAAAAGAAATAAAGGAAAATAAACAATTTTAAAAGTCATGATGGTGGGGCTTAAGAGCACTGGCTACTCTTGCAGAGGGCTGGGGTTTGATACCCAGGACCCTCATGGTGGCTAAGAACCCTCTAACTCCAGTTTCAGGTGATATGACACCGTCTTTTTGGCCTCGGTGGGCATTGAACACATGAAGATAAATTAAAAAGTCTTAGGAAAAAAAAAATCATGAAGGCAACCTTTAGGGTGTGTGGTGGGGAGGGGTGTGTGCCTCCTGTGACTTGTGACTTGGTGGCTGCTGTGACAGTTGGGAATCTGGCGAGGATTCCAGCTTCCAGGACTCTGGGTAACAACTGCACCTGTTGTTTGGGGAAATCCCAAATTCTGCAGCTTGCCAGCTCCCTGTCTTTTCCATTACACTCCCACCCCCCCACCCACCCCCGCCTTTTATTTTCCTGGGACTCTGTTACTGAGCTGCGGCTGCCCTTCCTCCCGACCCTCTGATGTTTATTTTTATTTTTTGGATGTTTGGAGGCACCCGCACCTCTTTAGACTAACCCTCTTCCGTGCGTGCGTGGTGTGGAGACAGAAAAGCCGGAGTTGATATTGATGAGAAACTCAGGAGACCAGGTGTTTACCCCGCAGAACTTCCGCTCTCCCTACCCCGGCCACGCCCACAGGCTGCCCAGGCTAGAAAACAGATCCTGGGGGTTGGGGAGGGAGGAAGGGCAGAGAAGCACTTAGGC